GGCAGTTGGGCGCAGGTGCGAGGGAAAGCCGCAGGTGCGATGCATTTCTGCACCTGCGATAGTCGCAAATGCGGTTGCATAGCCGCAGGAGCGGACCCTGGGATTCTAAGTGGAATCCGCACCTGCGATGGTATTTACGCAGGTGCGGCATCGCAGATGCGACAGAGAGTCCGCAGGTGCGAAACTTCTGGACTAAACACTTAAATGCAAAGGTTCGCGATTTTTGCTCATTTTCAATATTTTGAGCTCGGGTTTGGCGATTTCTTGAGAGCAGTTTTGAAAGGTTTCTTGAGGTAAGTCCCTTGTGCTTATTTTTGATCAATAATCTTGCCTCCCCATTTATTTTCCCACCTAGCTAGTATGTATTTAAGGTGAAAATTGGGAGTTGGAGGCTAGGGATTTGAAGAGTTTAATTGGGGTTTTGAGTAGTCATTTGAGGTCGGATTTTGATAAATTTGGTATGGTTGGACTCGTGAGTGAATGAGCTTTCAGATTTTATAATTTTTGCTCGATTCCGAGATGTGGGCCTGGGTCGACTTTTTAGGGCGAATTTCGGAACTTTTGTTAAAGTATTGATTTCATTAATTTGATGAGCCTATTATAGTTGTATTTATGATATGCAANGCATGTCTACGTGTCTTAATTGCTTATGTGAACTCTCTGCAGCATGCTTGGTGAAATTTTCTCCCTCTTTCCTTGACTAGTACTTAGTCTAAATCGTAAGATTTTGTGATGCAGTTGTATTTTTATGGTTTGCTTTGCATATTTACTTTGGAACTATGGAACGGTATTCTGGTAGATCCTCCTGTACTGCATATTTACTTTGGAACTACGGAACGGTATTCCGGGAGATCCCCCTGTACTGCATATTTACTTTGGGACTACGGAACGGTATTCCGGGAGATCCCCATGTACTGCATATTTACTTTGGGACTACGGAACGATATTTCGGGAGATTCCCCTTGCACATTTACGTTTGGGACTACGAGATGGTATCTCGGGAGATCCCCTGTTGTTATTTCAGTGTACTGAGCTATTGACTTGCTATGATTCCATTCTTTGTTAAATTTTAATACTTATTTTACTGCAATATTTCATTCTGTCTTAGTTTATTTTATATATACCAGTAGGGCCCTGATCTGATCTCGTCACTACTCGACCAAAATTAGACTTGGCACTTACTGGGTACCGTTGTGGTGTACTCATGCTACTCTTCTGTACATATTTTGTGCGCAAATCCAGATACTTCTTATGAGCCCCGCTACTAGCTGAGAGTGCTTGTTGTTGTACAGAGATTTCAAGGTATATCTGGCGCGTCCGCAGACCTCGGAGTCCCCATCTATTCCCTTTTATGTCATTTACCTTCCTTACTTCTGTTATTAGATTCTGGTGTATAGAGATACTAGTTTCCTTCTGTAACTTGTGACTTATGATGTTCCGGGTTTTGGAATTTTTGTGTATTTTTGAATAGTTGGTTATTGTACATGCAGGAGGCATGGTGCCCAGTTATGTTGTTACTGCTACAGTTAGTTGTTAAATTTATGTTTTCATTTCATTATTCCGCAAATGTTAGGCTTACCTAGTCGTAGAGACTAGGTGCCGTCACGACGTCATACAAAGGGAAAATTTGGGTCGTGACAATGAGCTTCCAGCATATTATGCTGGACCGGTATATTATACTGGAATATTTTTCGGATTTTGAATAGTGTTTTCGTTCAGAGTTATCTTTACATGAAAAGTGACTAAATTTCGATTACTTTTGAAACTATGACTATTTTTCAATTATCACTTGTAAATCTTGCTATTTTTGAATTTATCCCCTGAAAAAGGAGTTCTCAATTACTAGAAAAAAAAATGTTAGTAATAATAAAGGAAGTTTTCTATATGCGTATTTTTCAACTGTTACATGTTGCCTTCTACTCCCTTTTTCATATTAGTATTAGTATTAGTACGAGTGCTTTTCCTATGGCACACGATATGCCATAAACTAATTGCATTACGATTGTAGTTTTTCCTCAGAATTTGATGTTTAAAGTATAACTTAATTGCGTCCTTTTGGTACAGGATATACTACGAAAGAAACCAACAATTTTGGTTTCATCAAAATTCTGGTTACCCAAAACAAAAATGGGGTACCAAACAGTAATTGTTAACCGAACAGTAAAATTGATTTATTGCTTATTGATATCGGGTTATCGAGATAAAGGTTGGTGAACAGATTGAAATTTTATAATTAATGACTTAATAATTTGGGGGCAGATTACTCACTTTTCTTATCGGATAAACCGTTAACCCGTTAAATATTTTTATATTTACACCTTTACCCCTATGTATATTAAGTACTACTTGAAACCATAAATCCCTAATTTCTCAATTCAACACTAGCAATAGTCGTCTCCCTCGTATTTGTTTGTGCATTAGTTAGCTAACTTGTTTTCCTCGTAAAAAATATTTTTTCTTTCAATTGAGTTGTTAATTTTTTTTAATCCATAGCACATACTTATTTACTCTCCCTTGTATCGGATATTGCATGTCACATGGATTTGAACATACAGGAGTATATAAATAAATTTAGATCACAATTTTCCCTTATCTCTAGTTTTCAACTTCTTTTTTATTGTCCGTTTGATTTAGCCGATAAATCGCCCGATAATCACTAATCTGATACCAATTTGCTTGATGTATTATTGGTTGGCTAGCAGATTACTCCATTTATAAATTGGTAACCGATAAGTCAAACCGTTAAATGTAAATATACTCCCGATAAGCGCCCCTAGAAATGGGAGTGGGAAAATGTGAAATAACAGAGATTTCTTCTCAAAGGAATCGGCCAGTTAGTTGTTTTTTCTCCTCACCATTTCGTGAATACTGAAGTACTCTTTCCTCTGCTTCATTTTTTCTGGCAAACTGCAGACTCATAATGGGTCCATAGAGCCAAATAATGGAGAAAATAAAGAAGATTTTTATATAGCAAGTCAAGCAGATAGGCCAAGGCAATATTCTATAGGTACATCAAAAATGATACATCTCCATCTAACTTCCAAATTAAAGTGGCCACAAGTACTGAAATTAGGGTCAGAGCTAGGAGGAGTATATAGCAGAGCTCTAAGGCTTAATTTGTTTATGTATCAAATGGTTAAAGTTGCTTTTGGAGAAAATCAAAATGAATTAAAGGAGGATACTTCCACTTTTGCCTTATTATATCAGTAGGGTACTTTCTTGTCATATACAATTTGGCTCTTTTTTCTTGGGAAGTTGGAAGCAAATATTCCTGTGCACCCTTGTTGTAATGCCAAGATCATATTATAGAATTATGAGGGTGTTTTTTTGGTATAGTAATGAATATGTTATCAAGGTAGGGAGGTTTTTTTCATAAATGGGCGAATCTGAATAAGTGAGGCCAAGTGGTGATCTATGCAGAAGGAAGGGGTGGCACGCGGGTCGCTCCGATAAAATTTCATATTAATATTGATGTTCCACTGATATTTCATATAAAAAAGGGTATATAATCAAAGCGTGACATCTTGAGTAACAAAGTTAAAATAGGTGTCACGGTTAAAGTGCTTCCTGCCGGGCCCTAGACCCAGGATCTTCTCTCCTCTCTCACAGACTTTTTAACAAAGCTTATTTTGCTTTTCCTTGTTCCCTCTTTTTCATATTTTTGTTTCCTTCTCTTTCTCTTAATTTCTTATTTTCATCTTTGTATTCTCTTTATACAATCCCGAAAAATGTAGATTATAAAAGTATATTTATTTTTGTTTTCCTTTTCTAAATCTCGATTTTGAAATTTCAGTATGCTTTTAATCATTTTTCTTTTGATCTATTTATTGTTATTTTTTCCTTGAACAACAACAACAACAATCCAGTATAATCCCACCAGTGAGGTTTGAGGAGGGTAGTGTGTACGCAGACCTTACCCCTACCATGGGTAGAAAGGCTGTTTTCGATAGACCCTCAGCTCCCTCCTTCCAAGAACTCCCCACCTTGCTCGTGGGGTGACTCGAACTCACAACCTCTTATTTTTTCCTTGAAAGACCTTCATTTTTAGTTTAGTTATCACGGTGTATTTATGTACTAAAACATCTTATAAAGTGAACCGAATTAATTGAAAAATGGATCGAACCGAATCGAGTTAATTCAAAATTGAACGAACTAGCCAAATGTACATCATAATTCGACCTCCTTGACTAGATGTAAGTTTACATTAAAGATAATGACATCCGTAACTATTAAATCCTGAATTCGTTTATGAATTGGGCAATAGTTTTGGATAACAAATTTTTAAACTAACAACAGAAATATGAAATCAAGGTAGGGAGCATCGTTCTCATAAATGGAATATATATAGTGTGAATCTGAATTAGTGGAATCATGAGTTTCGCATAGCAAATTTTTAAACCAACAAAAAAACTACCTTTCTCTGTAATTTTGCAATATTACAAAATTTTGCTTTTGCTTAGTGGGACGGTGCATTACACCAATCGTATTAAAGAGTGAAAGATTATGGCATATGCCATATGAATGGACAATAATTAAGGCTTTAACCCCATCACCCATTGCTTAAAAGTGATTCTTCAAATAATTTATTCCCAAAAAGAAAAAACTTATTCCAATGTCCCTATCTGTGTTAGTGAGTTTATGCTGTTTGGATTATGGATAAAATTTCCCCAAGGATTTCGTATTTTTTATTTCAAAACTCAAAATTTCAAAAAGAGCAAAATTGTCGAAAAAAGATAAGAAGGTACTCCTCCTGGGATATTGAGCCGGGAGACTCGTGACTTCGGATTCTGCAAAATCGCTACAAAAAATTAATTAATGTTGTCAAAGGCGGACCTACCCTTTAACTTGAAATATATATATNTTTCTTTCCGTCTACTGGACTGCTTTTTTTTCCTCGGTTTAGGGAGTAACTATTATGTGAAGTACTTAGAAAATCTTGACAAATATATAGAATATGTAATAAAAATGAATATAGGATGTCCTTTTCAGGAATCTCTCATTTCGTCCTCTTTTGCTAACTCGCGCGGCGATTTTCATATACAATTTACCTCTTTCTCAAAAGCTGTGTTTATTTTTAGCAATCGTCTCTCCGTGTTCAACTCGTTAGCAGACATCGGAGACAAATCAAACTCAACAAAAGGAGAGAGAAACTTAGAGAGAGAAGAAAGAAAAATCACACATATTAAAAGTAGCATTTACCAGTTTCTACACACACACACAAAAGGAAATCAATCTACCAGGAGAAAGACCTTTCCTGTTAGACTGATTTTCCTTCAACTTTTCCACAGCTTTGACCATTTGTTTCTTATTCAAATTTTCCCCTTGTAATTTAATTCCCTCTCCAAAACCCAATTTGGCAAATTGGTTTGTTTTTTGAGTTTAGCCTTTGAATTGAATTTTATTAAGATGAAGGGTTTAATGTGGGTTTAGGATGAATGATATTGACATTCAAAGTTGGTTTATGATGTAATACAAAAGCGGTGGTTACATTAAAAAAAAGAAAAGATGTCGCTTTATATTGGTCGTCAGGCTTCCAAGGTTCGTCTTTTAGGTGTTTAAATTTTCTTAATTTGCTATTTGAAGATAAGGAATTTATCGGTTTTCTTTTTTGCAGCTGTGGAAGAGAATTTGTTCGGAGACAACAACGGAGATCAAGCTTCTTACTGAAAATTGGAAATATATTCTTGGTGGCTTAATATTCCAGGTTTTTAATTTGTTCTTCCTTTTCTTATTAACCTCCTTTTTTTGTTGTACAGAATAAAAGCACTCGGGAAAAAAGTCTTCTTTCTGGGTGTTTTGGTTGAAAAGCAGTTTTAATCAAAAGTTGATCTTTTTTTTGTTAAAAAAGGTCTTGTTCAATATTTTGAACCAAATGGGACAAGTTTTAACCTTTTGGGCATGGGAAAAGGACAATTATTGTTAATGGGTGTATGTTGGTTTTAGTTTCACTTTGTGGAGAGTTGATATTTAGCTTAACGGGGCAAAAGTGTTCATCCATAATGGTGTAATTATAATTACTTTAATATTTTTTTAACCGTGGTGTCTGGGCCGGCCGGCTTGGGCGCATATACCTGCTACCTCCCCCAAAGGTGTAATTGTTAGTATTTACTTTATGATGAGTTGATTTGCCTAAATATTGAGGTGAATACAATTTTTCCTTTAGTTTTTCTTTTTGATAAAGATTAAAGCATAGCTTATGTAGTGGTGACTTGCATTAGTAGCAAAGTATGGTAGTTGTAGTTCAGGTTGAGGGGCGACGAGAGGCTTAGGATCCTTCAAATTTGTTGCGTATAGAATGATGGCCTTTGTGACTTACGTTTCTTAAGTACACATTTTACTGCAGTTGAGAAGTGGTGTTGGCCACTGATTAATGTATCATTTCCTTTTTCTAATGCTTTTCTTAATTTGTTTTGGTGCTGATCTTAGTGTGTTTTTGATACATGAGTGTGAAATCTTTCTGTTCTTTTCTTAAGTACATCCACGGACTTGCTGCTCGAGGGGTTCATTACATACATCGGCCTGGACCAACTCTTCAGGATGCCGGCTTCTTTCTTCTTCCGGTTGGTTTTATTGGTTGTTTTTCTACATTTCTCCACTATTTTGGAAGAGGTGTATTGATTATTTTTCTTTTCTTTACTTGTAAATTTCCAGGAGCTTGGTTCAGACAAAGCTTACATAAGTGAAACTGTATTCACCACCATTTTTTTATCTTTTGTCTTGGTGAGTTGGTGTTCATATAAATCTTTCCATCATCAGTTAACGCTGAGTCTCTTTGCTCCCTCTTTTTGTTAATTACATTCTTTTTGCTTTTAAATTTGATGTATTCTGTTTCTCATTCATTATAGTTTGTGGGTAAATAAAGACCGTCTAGGCATTCATAAATCGTAAGCATACTTGAATATGTTCAAGGCTAACTGTTAGGCCAAGCTAACTTTAGGTTCGAAAAATAGGGAAAACCTGGATGTTAGACTCTAAAGCTTATAATGTGGTATTAACATTTACAGTTTATTTATTTACCTATGAAGTGAATTTTGTATGTTCCTGATCTAATTATTGCTCATCTTTTGCTGTAGTGGACATTCTATCCTTTCATTTTCAAGACCAAAAAGATCTATACGGTTCTGATATGGTGCAGGGTCCTGGCATTCTTAGTTGTAAGTACCTTCTTTTCTAGTCTTTTACCTTCCTTTTGTTTCATAAGTCAATTTTCAATTAGAGTAGTTTTGTTAAATCTATCTTCTTTTCTAGTCTTTTACCTTCCTTCAGGGAGAATCTCGTTCGATCCAATCTATCTTCTAATTTGTTAAATAATTGTTTGCTACAGGCTTGTCAATTTCTCCGGATCATAACATTCTACTCTACACAGCTTCCTGGTCCAAATTATCATTGTCGTGAGGTAGTCCAATTGATGATTTATTGGTTAGCATTTTGTCTAGTGTTGTCTATGCACTGTCTATGCACCGTGCATCACCTTACAGTTTATTTTGCAATTTCTAGGGTTCAAAGCTTGCTACACTTCCTCGGCCTAATAGTGTATTAGAAGTTCTACTAATTAATTGTGAGTAGCACTCACGTTTACGCACATATCATTTTGGGTTTTGGGTTATAACATTCTTTGACTTTGGTGCTTGCATGATTTTTATGGCAGTTCCCAGGGGTGTACTTTATGGTTGTGGTGATTTGATATTTTCTTCGCATATGATATTCTCTCTAGTCTTTGTGCGGATGTATCATAAATATGGCACACGAAGGTAATTAATATATATCTGCTTTAACATAATACTTTGTTTTTACTTTTGGTGAATGCAACTCTGCAAGTGATATTATGGATGATGGTGGGTATAGAGTTGATTGTAGTTTTACTAGACGGACAAGTGAAACAATGCGATGATGTCCCACTTCCCTCACTTCTCCTTTCTTTTCTTTCAATCTTCAACCTGGAAGATGAGATTTGCTGATTGTGCACATCAGGATTTTTTTCCATATAATTTGTTTTTTTTCCTTTTATTTTACGTTAAAGAAATTGTTTACTTAGGCTTATTATTTATATTTTTAAGTTGAATTTGGCACTTTTTTTTCCCCTTCTTCTGTATTTCTTTGTTTTTCCTTTAATTTGATCTTCTCAAGAAGAAAAGAATGGCTGTATATTAAGTGTTCCCAGCACATCCGGAACTTGTTAGTGATTGTTTGATTTTATTCTGCAGGTTTATAAAGCAATGTGCTTGGTTAGCTGTTATTGCTCAGAGCTTTTTGATTGTTGCATCACGTAAACATTACACAGTTGACGTTATTGTGGCATGGTGAGTCAAGTTTTGGGCTTGAGGTTCTGTTTTGCAAATTTGTTGGCAAATATCTGGCTTAATTGAGCTATACTGATTTTCTACAGGTACACTGTTAATCTAGTAGTATTCTTCATTGACAAAAAGTTACCAGGTTAGCATTTGATCTGAACTTCCTTGCAAACAGGTTGTTTGTGCTGGTTTTATTATTCCCTCGTCCTTTTCCTCCTGTTATTAATACTCAAACGAGAAGGGCAAAAGAAAAGTTGAAGCATGAGCTGTTTGTTGCAGAATTGCCGGACCGTACTAGTGCAGCCTTGTTGCTACCGTTAAGCAAGGATAGCAAGACTAAAGAAGAGAATCACAAACTTCTGAACGGTAATTCTGGTGATCCTGCAGACTGGGTATGGAGATTTACCCGTTTCCATTTTCCAGTTAGGTATCTTTAGTAACTAATGAAATTACTCTGACATTGTTTTCTGCATTGTTTATAGAGGCCTAGAACCCAAATCAACGGGAAGATCATGGAAGATGGTAATGCGGTTCATGTTGAAGCAGCGATGAATGGTGTATAGACGATAGAATGCAGACAGCTCAACTAGCTGAACCAGGTTTAAGCACTACTGCTCGATGTCATTACAAGGTCGGGTCTGAGCGTGGTGTTCTTCCAAGTTCAATAGTTTTGGTCCGTAGAGTAGGATGCAAAGTCTAGAGGGTTATGCTTTGAATGCCTCCGTGGTCCCTATGCTTAAATTTAATGGCTTCAATGTATCATGGAATTCCATTTTTGTTCCCTTGTTAATGCCATTATTCTCTAATTGTGCTCACCAAAGTCTTAGTAAAGGGAAGCATTATGCACTAAGCTCCCGCTATGCGCGAGGTTCGGGGAAGGGCCGGACCACAAGAGTTTATTGTACACAGCCTTACTCTGTATTTCCGTAAGAGGTTGTTTCCACGGCTCGAATCCGTGATCTCCTGGTCACATGACAACAACTTTACCAGTTACGCCAAGACCCCCTTCGCTCACCAAAGTCTTAGTACACTTATTTATTTCCATTAAGGTTGAAAACAAGGGGCAAGAACTGCAAAATATGCAACAAATGAGTTGCAGCAACTTTGCAGTGCTGGTAACATGGGATGTACAGAGCATGTGATGATCCTTTATGAAAGAGCCAACAGTGGCAGGTGTTGGGAGTGTATTAATAATAGATCCAATTAAATGCTAGAGTATCTTGGCTCAAGAACCACGTATTCCTTTTGCTCATTGTCAAGATCTTTATGTATGGCCTATTTTGCCTGTTTACTTAAAGGTGCATTGCACAGATAAAAGATAGAGATTGCACCTAAATAGCACATGCCTGCTCCTTCCTTTGGGGCACACATCCATTGCCTTTCTCCTACGACAAGTGTGTGTTATCTCATCTCTCTGACGCCTGAAGTACAATTTACTGTTCTAACTCAGATCGTCATCTCTTTTTGTTGATAAAGAACAATCACAGATTAGCCATGTGCCACTATTGGTCCCTGTTTCCTTCTTAAAAATGTGAAAATTGACGTATATTTAATACGAAAAACAGCGCTGAAACAAGAATTAGAAGAAAACTGAGACAGGAATATTAGATCACAAATGTAGGAGAGATTGTTGAGACAGGAATATTAGATCACAAATTGAGACAAGTAAGAGTTGGACGGGTTGGACTATGATTCAAATTTTAGCCTATCTTGACTCAGTCCAAGTAATTTTTGGGTTGGTCATTGACCTACCAATTTATTGATTCAACCCATTTTGACCCTTCCATAAGCAGTCCAACCCGTCCATTTGATACCTCTATCTTGTAGGGCTGTTTATCGGGCAGATTGGGCGGTTAATTACTAACGGTTTGGCTTAACGGTTATCGGCTTTTAAATGTATTAATTCGCTAGCCACCCGATAAGATATCGGGCGGATTGGTATCGGTTTAGTTCTTATCGGGCGGTTATCGGGCGGTTTATCGGCCTAATTCAATCTATATTAAGTGCATTAATTGTTTGTTGACCGCCTAGCATACAAATTCAGAATAGGAAATTACACATTGAGTCCAGACATATATGTTTGTTAGCGCCTACATAAGAATGATGTAGTGTGTCATGTGGTGTACAGTGAAAAAAGCAGAACACATTGTAGTCTACATTACATCCCAAAGCAGACTATGAAATGATGTAATTAAGGAAAAAGTAGTTCTAATGGATATGCCACTGTAACTCTTGCTAGCTATAACATGGATCATACAAGGATATCAAATTTCATTGAGATAACTATGTGATTGCCTGGGTGTAGATGCAAAGGAACAATTTCAGTAGTTTAGCTCATTAAATATAATGGTATCTAAATTAATTTATTCATAGCACAAATGAAGCAAAATTACAATAAATGTGCGGTCCTTCCCTTTTTTTCTTGTTCATTTCTCTTAGAAAGGTAACAATATATTAATAATTAACACAAAGGTTGTGCTGGAGCCATATTTACAATTTTAAAAAGCAAAAATATGAGCTTGCTCTTCATACTAGGGCACTAAGATATAATACTGGAAGCCTGAAAGTCGACGAGATAGAGTACTGCGGGTGGTTGCTGGAGTGCTGGTTGAATTTCTACTGAAGCTGGTTGAATTATNGTCGCCCCCAAACCGATAAGTCGTTAATAAAAAAAATTCAATCCGTTCCTCGTCTGTTAAACCGTTAACCCGATACTAATAAGCCATTAAAATTCGGTTTCGGTTCAGTTTTCGGTTTCGGTTCGATTTTGAACACCCTTGCTATCTTGGTGCAACGATGTTGGGCACATCACCTTGTTTAACATAGTGGTAGTGCAGGTAACACTGATTAAAACGCTGTACCAGCCTCTCTTCTTTTTCCCTGATTTAATAAAACGTTGAGTAGTGAAGTGAACTCCACACCCATACAATAGAAATTTTTTGGCCAAGTATTTTCGTATATTATTATGTTCAACAGTCTACAAAAAGTAAATAGCAGAGAGACTAAATACGCAATAACCCTATTCTCCTTTCTTTTTACAACAACCCAGTATAATCCCACTAGTAGGATCTGGGGAGGATAGTGTGTACGCAGACCTTACTCCTACCCTCGAGTAGAGAGGCTGTTTCCAAATGACCCTCGGCATCCTTCCCTCCAAGAACTCCCCACCTTGCTCTTGGGTGACTCGAACTCACAACCTCTTGGTTGGAAGTGGAGGGTGCTTACCATTCTCCTTCCTTTTTATACCCCATTATTGAGTGAACATCATAATGAAGCTAGCAGTCTGTTGCAAATGGTCAAGAGGCACAAATTGCATTTCACCTGCATACAAATTATTTTATTTTGTGCCTTAAAATGTGTGCTTACGACTTATTTCATTTTGTGTCGTGTGAATTATGGTAACTGGTAAGGTACGTAGCACATCAGCTTAGCATAGATAGATGACGGCCTATTAAGAAACATATCACATTCATTTATATGATTTTAATGAGCAAAGGTTCTGTCAGCTTGATTTAATTTATACCCTTTTATTCAATTTCTTGTTCTTTTTTCTTTTATTATTCCTATATTTTTGGGGGGACATTTTTCTCAAAGGGTGCAATAACCAATAGCACACAATAGCCTGTCCACAGCTGCTTTTGTTGATACTCTTTGACAGCCTAACATTTTGGTGTCGGATATAAGTGAGATTTTGAGAATAAATTGTCATGATTAGGGTATGTCTGTCTGTCTAACGACCGATGTTCTCACTGTGTTTGAGTCCATCTTTATCAGATACTGTAGGAGTGGAGTTAAAACTTAAAACAATGACTTGTGGATTGAGGGTCCTCGACACCTTTGACCTTTGTCGTGGTACATGGAATAACAGAATGGGCCTACTTTGTTTCCTTAGGAGATATTAAGTGGTGTTGATTATTAAGGCCACTAAGCTTTTGTTAACATATCTATTTTCAGAGCTTGAATCCGTAGTACATTTATCATTGCGCTTATGGTGCTTTCAATCCGATCCAATTTATGCATATATAATGTAAAAAAAAAAAGACATAACGGAGAAAAGGAAGGAGACAAAAGTACAAGGAGAGAAAGATAACATAAAAAAAAGTATAACGCAAAAATTTGGGTGTCTGGCCGTTGAAGCAGTCCAAGATTCAGTAACTATTCTAGAAATTGGAAATTTGGCAGCTCCGGTCTCGTCCTCTTTCTCCTATAGTTTTTACTAGGTCAAGAACTCACCATTATTCAAGTCAAGGAGTAATTATTCTTTTGAGATATAGTGGAAGATATAAAGTTATACGTTGGGCTAAATGGAATTAAAAAGAAAATGACTTGACTTGATAAGGTCTTAAAATTAAATAATTACTAATATTGACCTAGTCGTAATTGGAAGATTACATTCGTCAAACCAAATCCATTTTTCTACTTTTATCCTTTGAAAGGTACTTTTATTGGAGTGCCTCGTGCATATCATTAATCCACGCTTCTTGTCCTTATTATTCTGGTGTTACTATGTTATTGTGATATCTGTTTTGTTTCTTTCGAAGAATGGAGCAGTGTTCCTTCACATTCAATTCTTACAATTTTAGCCCACTATCTCATACTTTCATTTATTTATTTTACATTTGGAAAATTGAAAAGTTTTGTTTCCCTTTCAATTTTATGTTTAAAATGGATTAATTATAAACGGTATAGTCAATAACACTTGCATCACAATAATAATACTACTAAGGGCAAATTAGAAGATCTAACAGTATTATATGAATTCAGATCTTTCAGTTACTAACCTGAAAAACTCAGGGAAGTGCAGTGGCCAGTGCAATAAATCAATGTCTCTGCATCTTTGATAAGGAGTGTTGTAACAAATTTTGAGATCAGATCAGTGTGAGATCTCTAGTTTGAGTTTTTTAACATATAATTTTTTTATTTGTATGCGAAATGAGTAATACAAAGTTAATTCTAAACTGGTCATGGTATTGTGCATGTATTAAATTAGTTATTCATTAGTAAACAACGAACTCTCCATTCCAATCATGTCACAACGGTTTCAGATTAAAAAATAGTGATAGTTAAACGTTAGTCAATGAGAAAATGTGCTTTATTTCTGTCAAAACGAATAAATAATTAGAAGCATCCTTTTGAATTTTAGTTTAAACCAATGCAAGTTTACTCAACAACATTACTAGAGTCATTTAGTAAAATCGTATTTAAAAAACAATGTTGTACTTGGGGTGTACACGGGGCGGCTCATTAAGTTTGGTGGCATAAAGCCAAATTTTAACGTGAGACTCTTTTAAAAAAAATCCTATATATTTTTAGTTGAAATAGATTTTTCTAGCTTTTTGAGAATAAAATTACTTAATTTTTTTTGCATAAACCATTTAATCTCTCATGTGCAGTATGATCTTAAGTAATAGAACCTGATTCAAGCTGTTGATAACTTTGTATTAAAAGAATTTTTTGATGTTTCAATATATTTGTTGCAATGATGAAAACCCGAGGAAAAAAATAGACTTTAAAAGTGTATTTACATATTTTCTAATGATTAATGTAATCTTTTTTTATATAAAATATTTTACTTTTCTACTTTGAAATACTTAATATTTTCTTAAAAAGATATAGGGCTTCACGAGAAGAGTTGTGGTGGGATGGATTGCATATCTTCTTCTTTAACCGAAAGTATTCGGTTTCAGTATTTGGAATGAAAACAATCCCTTATAAGGAACAGTTCCCACTTTAATAAACTTTACACTGTACGAATTTGAATTAATTAATGCCCCCAAATTAAAAGTCGGACATCAAATAAGAATTGGAAAATAAAAATTGGGCCCCCAAAATTCTAGGGCCTAAAGCCACCGCTTTAGTGGCTTTATCCTCTGGCCGCCCCTGGGTGTACATGGACCGAGTTGGTTTGATTTCGATAGAAATCAAACCAAACCAATTATATCGGCTTGGA